TATGTTGTTTTAAATGTGCTCTACAGATAAAGATTTGATTGATTGATTGATTGACTGTCTGTCTATTTGATAATCTGACCCCACAGTGAGAAACTCTGGTCGTGTTGTTTGTGTCCTGCCCCACTAATAAACAAGTCTCCTGAGACACCACCCCAGACCCCAGACCTCTACATCATTTGACATTTTCTTCAATAATATTTACAATGTTCTCACCCCAGTTTCTTCCTCTGCAGCTCTGACAGAAGACCAGATCAATCCTTTGGACCTACATCTGTCTCTGCTCTTCATATTACTCCCTTTACTTTCTTCTGCCGTCACCACAACGGACGCTAAAAAGATTCAGATTCAGATAAAGACTATTTCCTTTATTCCACCAGGGGCCGTCCATTGCAGCAGCACAGGGTATAAAAACATAAAACACAGGAAATGTCCAACAGAAACATCAGCATGATATGAAAAGGCAGCAGAGGGAGTGTTTTGTGGAGGACAGAGAACCAAAGACACAGAGACTGCATTGATTTTACGTTTGACAGATTGTTATGACAAATCGCCAAAGCTGTCAATCAGTCTGCGCCCCACCCTCACCTCTGGTCAGGAGAAATGGAGTGAAGAGCTGCTGCTTTTCCAAACAGAAAGGTAGTAAGTTTCGTATTTATATAGCACATTTCTAGACCAAGGCCACCCAAAGCACTTTACAATGTTCAGAAACCATAATTTGTCCACTCTCTTGACACGGTGATGACAGAAACGAGACGCCGAACACACTGGACCATCAAAACCTCCGACCAAACACCATCCATTCAAGCACTCACTCATTACACTCATACCTAGTGTACATGTTTTTAGTGGTAGGGGAAACCGGAGAAAACCTACGCAGACACGGGGAGAACATGCAAACTCCACTCAGAAAGGCTGGAATTCGAACCCAGGACCTTCTTGCTGAGAAGCGAGAGTGCTGACCATTCGACACTGAAGGGACTTTATCTCTCAGCTGGTCTGGGAACGCCTCAGGATTCCCTCGGGTGAGCAGCAGGAAGGACAGAGATACAGAGTTCTGGCAATGAACAAAGTAGATCTAAAACCAATCATCAACAGTCGTCTTGTGTTCAGTCGGTTTATGAACCTCGGTCAAATAGAATATTGTTGAAAAGTGTATTTATTTCTGTCCTTCAAGTGAAAATGTGAGACTACGATATGATACAGACAAAGTGATGTATGTTGATGGTTATGTATGGTTATGTATATGTGTCTATATATATGTACAGTATATGGTTACGTATAGGTATATATATAGGTATATAGTTTCTGGGTCGAGGGGGTGGCAATCAGAGCTGCCACTCAAGACTCATAGCACCAGTCCCTCACTGATCTGTCATGGACAAGATGGCCTCGGTCTTTCAGCAGGTGGTTCAGGCAATGTGGGGTTAATAAGTGTCTTGCCAAGGGACACAACGACCATTAGGTTCAAAGGCCAGTGCTCTACCAACTGAGCTGCATACTGTACTGTAGTTATGTATATGTATATGTATACTGTATGTATGTGTATATGTATATGTATATGTGTATGTATATGTATGTGTATATGTATATGTATATGTGTATGTATGTGTATATGTATATGTATATGTATATGTATATGCATATGTATGTGTATGTGTATATGTATGTGTATGTGTATATGTATATGTATGTGTATATGTAAATTTATATGTATATGTATATGTACTGTATATGTATATGTATATGTATGTGTATGTGTATATGTATGTGTATATGTATATGTATATGTATGTGTATATGTATATGTATGTGTATATGTATGTATATGTATATGTATATGTATGTGTATATGTATATGTATGTGTATATGTATGTATATGTATATGTATGTGTATATGTATATGTATGTGTATATGTATATGTATATGTATATGTATATGTAAATGTATATGTATATGTAGTGTATATGTATATGTATGTGTATGCGTATATGTATATGTATATGTATGTGTATGTGTATATGTATATGTATATGTATGTGTATATGTATATGTATATGTATGTGTATATGTATATGTATGTGTATATGTATATGTATGTGTATATGTATGTATATGTATATGTATGTGTATATGTATGTATATGTATATGTATGTGTATACAGTATGTATGTATATGTACTGTATGTGTATATGTATGTATATGTATATGTATATGTATGTGTATACAGTATGTATGTATATGTATATGGTTATACAGTCCAGTTTCAGTATATTCTAATATTCTGGTATGTTTTGAGTTTTTACAGTTGTGGTCATAATTATCCACATTATAACAAATGAAGGCTTGATATATCTCGCTCTGCATGTGATGAGTCTGTTTTATATTAGTTTCACATAATAAGTTGGATTGCAGAAGAGAAATTTACTTTGGAACGATATTCTAATTTAACTTATATGTTCAAAGAATCACAGGACCTTGGATTGAATACATTTGATTCATGAATAGTTCTGTGAAAATACCAATGCTCTATTTAGTTCATTATGGCCGCTGCACATTCCTGTCTTCTATCATCAACAGAAAAACACATTTTTACACTCTGTTTCGCTACATTATTGTTAGAACTTCAGAGAAAACACTTCATCTCTGTCACACACACACACACACACGCACACACACACGCACACACACACACACACACACACACACACACACACACACACACACACACACGCACGCACGCACACACACACACACACACACACACAGCGACTACACTCCAAAAGTCACCAGCATAAAATCAAGACACAGAAAAACGTATGTATTTTTTCACAAAATATATTTATTACTACTAAAAAGTCCACAACAACACATTGTGCTGGACAAGTTCAAAAAGTGACTGGCATAAGGCGGTTCCATTCTTTCATTTGAGGCCATTACAATCTTGACAATAATTAAATAACTGCATTTTGGAGCGTTTTGTAGAAGTGCTGACGGAGAGAGACCCATCACCGCTTTTATGAATGAGTCTCCTCTGCTGGGGCTGACTCCAGATTGAATCATGTCGCTTCCTTTTCCTTTACTAAAGTCAATAGTTTCTGCAGACATTATCCTAGGGCATGATGCTAACACACGCTGCGTTTGAAACTACAGCAAAACGCGTATGAGTTGTGTGCTTTTCTATATATATCGCTGAAAATCAGGGCATCAAAAACAATTTAGCTACAGGATTATTTAAGACTTTCCAGGCCAGGCTAAATGTACGACACGCAAATGGCATTGATCCCTTCATAATGACTAGCAGTAATGTCAATTGTTAGCTTGTATTTGCTTTTCTAACACGCTCTTAACGCGGTGAGGTTTCTGCTCGTTTTGCATCCACAGAAAGAACAGTGCATTTAGCCAAGCCTTTAAAAAAACATCATCCGTCCTAAAGACACATTGAAAACATGTAACAAAACGGTCCTCTGGTGTGGTCTGCGGGTCGATGAGCGGGTCGGAGCTGCCGTGGTCTCTCAGCCATGTTGCACCAGCGCCATGTTAGTGGCTAGAGCCAGAGGGGATGGCGATGTGGGTGACCCGGCACATTTGACTAAGCCTCTGTCACTCAGATTACACACAGACTGGACCGGGGAAGGGAGGGGGGGGGGACGGGAGTGAAAGAGGGAATATCTCGTTCTGTTTTATCTGCACTTCCCAAAACCCAGCCTCGACCATATACACTACAGGAATCTAGCTTGTGCCTCTTCGCTCCCATAACCCGCTACAAGCACCATTTAAAACAACACATGCCTGACAGCTTTAGATGTTCTCTGCAAAATAGTAATGAAAAATAAGGCAGAAATTTCTCAAAATTTGGTTAAATGTGTGTTAATTTGAGAACATTTTTTACGGCCTTTAAACAAGATTTGCAAAATTAAAAAGCAAAAAAAAAAGCCACTGTTGGGAGTAGAAAATAAAACAGTTGCATTCAAACTGAACAGCTTATCCTATTGGCAAAATGTGCACAAATAAATATAACAAACACTCAATTCAAGCAGTTTCCACCTCATATTTCATCATTTTTTGCAGTGTTGGCACCAAGTTTGTCATCCACGAATGACAGAATTTGTAATGTTGGTTCTTCAGAAGAGAATTACGTGAGTTGGTGTTGCAAATGGTCCAGCTAGACCCAAACATAGGCTATATCCACACGAAGACAAAAACGCTTATAATTTCAGAAACTTTTTCTGTAAACACGGAGTTAGCTCAGTAAATGTGTGCGTCCATATGAATGTAGTCAATACGCCTGAAAACGCTGTGAAACTATGCCAGACCTGTTGGTGGCGCTGTGACGCAATGACGGGATCAAGCCCAAACTTCCGTGGGCATGCGCGGAATTTTGTAAACAGACAACATGGCGAGTGGGCGAGCTGGTACAACATTAGTATGGACGGACGATGAGGTTGAACTGTTGCTTCGGTTCACACTGGATTACAAAACCAACAAGCTACATTGTTGTTGTCATTATTTTCTGAGTGCGGCGCATGCGTGCTTTAACAAGAGGCGGGGCGATGACGCAAGCGTCTCAGATACATTGCGGAGAGGCAGTAACCACGGAGCGGCATATACGGAGTTTTGAAATCTTTCCACTCTGGGACCTACTTTCAAAAATGTTCGTTTACACCCCCCCAAAACGCCGGCCTCGTATGGACAATACACTGGATTGATAAAGTATTTTTGCGTTTAGGCCTGAGCTTGACTTCGTGTGGACAGGGCCATAGAGTCCAAAAACATACTTTTGGAGCGGGCAACACACCTAAGCTGCTTAGATAACCACTTATGGCCATATGGCTTTAGCGCACAGCTCGTATGCACGGCCATGTTTTCCGGTGGTTTCGTTGATAGCGTTGGACTCTTTGATGCCCTTTTTTGCCACTATGACGAGCAAACAAACTAGGAGCTTAAAATACATGGTTTTAAACAAGGTAACAGCCCAGTCTTGAGCTCTTTTTGGTCAGATGGAACAGCGTCGGGTACAAAAAATATCAAATAGAATATATAAGCAGACTATAGTTCTTTTCGACTTTCGCTTTCTCCTAAATCTCAGTGCAAGAACTTCCTTTTACAAAAGAGAATGGACGGGAGATATGTGTGCTGGCTGCAGGACGACTGTCAAAGGGCAGAGGGGTGAGGGGTACTAGGGCAGGGTGGGGGTGGTGGTGGTGGTGGTGGTGGTGGGGGGGGGATGGGCGTTACTGGAAGGAGGCCCGGACGGCGCGGCCCTTGAGCGGCTGAGGGGGCCGGTAGTTGTCCACCATGCAGCACTCAGCCTCACCTTCGGGCGTGAAGAGGAGACTACGGAATCGGGCCATCTGCGAAAACACGAGATGGAGATGAAGCTGGATGTTGATGCTGACTTTATGCACAGCCAAAAGTGGTAAAAAGTAACTAAAACATTGCTCAAATTTGGCGACACGTATCTTAATTTGATCACATTTTGACTGCCTTAGAACAAGATTTGCCAATGGGACAAACACAATGGGCCTCATTCACGAATAACTTCGTAAGAAACTACTCAACTTTCTTCTCAAGTTGTCCTTAAGTAGATTTCTAAGAAGTCCCCACGTGGGATTCATCAACGCGCTCGTAAGCCGCTGAATTGTTTGCAGCTGTTCTCTCAGATTGATGAATCCCATTTCCTCGTAAGTACAGCGCGCGTGCCAGGTGCTTCATTAGCATAGGTACTTAGCATAAGTAACCGCCCACTAATGCCTATATAAGGGGATGCAGGGCCGTGTGCAGACGGCAGAGGAAACAGCAACAGGCCTTTACACGGAGCAAAAGAGTCACCCAGACTGAGAATAAAGTTATAAAATGTTGACTTAAAAGTCGAAATATTATGATAATAAAGTCGAACTAGCAAAATTATGAGATTAATCTAAGAATATGATGAGATTAATCTCAAAATGTTATGAGCTTAATTTAAAAATATATTATGTATTATTTTAAAGATGAATCTCAAAATGTTTTGAGATTAATCTCAAAATATTTTGGACCCTGGGAGGAGATCCAGCGCGGACCAGCGCTGAGACCAATGCAGACCCGAGGAGAGACTGGAGTGACCAGCACACAGAAACCAGCGCGGACCTACAGGAGAGACCGCATAGACTGTAGTGACCTGACTGGAGAGACCGGTGCGCAGAGACCAGCGCGGACCGAAGAGAGACCGCATAGACCAGACTTGAGAGACCAGCGCGGACCCGTATGGATCCAGGAGCAAGCAGCACGGACCCGTATGGAGAGACCAGTGCAGACCAGTATAGATCCATGGGAGAGACCAGTGCAGACCCGTATATGGGAGAGACCAGTGCAGACCCGTATAGATCCATGGGAGAGACCAGTGCAGACCCGTATAGATCCATGGGAGAGACCAGTGCAGACCCGTATATGGGAGAGACCAGTGCAGACCCGTATAGATCCATGGGAGAGACCAGTGCAGACCCGTATAGATCCATGGGAGAGACCAGTGCAGACCCGTATAGATGGGAGAGACCAGTGCAGACCCGTATATAGATCCATAGGAGAGACCAGTGCAGAGACTCAGCGCGGACCCAGTAACCTCCTGCAGCAGCAGTATATATGCCGTTGTTCTGTGGCCCGTGGATAAAGAAATGCCCCCTATAAATAGGAAGGGGTCACTAATACACGGCAAGATTTCCAATGTATTTCATAAAGCGTTGGCACATTTCATTTCAAAATGAATTAAAAAGTAGGCCAGATCTGCAGTGAAAAAGGCGGTATATAAATAAAGATTACTAATAAAGATTACTACAAATAAATAAATACATACATCGATATGACGGACATATCACTGGAATGTTGTATTTTTATTCAACTTCACCAAAGAGGACAACCCCGGCGTGTGAACATGTCGGCACTGAATGCGTACGAGTGCTCCTGAGGACTCGTAGGATTTGTACTTGCCCAAGTGAAATTCTGGTTACGAGAAATATTCGTGAATGCCACTTTCTTCGTAAAAACCGCGTAAGTAGGATTTACGTACAAATCTGTTTTTGTCTAAGAACCGTTCGTGAATGAGGCCCATTGTGTGTGTGTGTGTGTCTATCTGTCTGTCTGCCTGTCTGTTTGTGTGTGTGTCTATCTGCCTGTGTGTCTGTCTGTGTGTGTGTGTGTCTGTCTGTTGTCTGCCTGTCTGTTTGTGTGTGTGTCTTTCTGCCTGTGTGTCTGTCTGTGTGTGTGTGTGTGTGTCTGTCTGTCTGTCTGCCTGTCTGTTTGTGTGTGTGTATATCTGCCTGTGTGTCTGTCTGTGTGTGTGTGTGTGTGTCTATCTGTTTATCTGCCTGTCTGTTTGTGTGTGTGTCTATCTGCCTTGTGTGTCTGTGTGTGTGTGTGTGTGTGTGTGTGTGTGTCTGTCTATCTGTCTGTCTGCCTGTCTGTTTGTGTGTGTGTGTGTGTGTGTCTTTCTGCCTGTGTGTCTGTCTGTCTGTGTGTGTGTGTGTGTCTATCTGTCTGTCTGCCTGTCTGTTTGTGTGTGTGTCTATCTGCCCTGTGTGTCTGTCTGTTTGTGTGTGTGTCTTTCTGCCTGTGTGTCGGTCTGTGTGTGTGTGTGTGTGTGTGTGTGTGTGTCTATCTGTCTTTCTGCCTGTTTGTCTGTGTCTTTCTGCCTGTAGTGTGTGTGTGTGTGTGGTGTGTGTGTGACGAGTTGTGTTGTATGAGTGTCTTTTGCACTACACTACACTTAACCTTAAACAGTACATATGATAATGAGAAGCTACAGGTGTTTTTGTCACAACACTTTTGATTCAGATAAAATCCATAAAACTGCTACCGTTTGGGCATGAAGCCAATCACCATGACTGTATGAAAGACATGACTTTATATCCTCCTAATCTCTCACCCATTACCTATTAATAAAAGATTGAAGCCAGTAGTAAAGTTTTATCAATGTATTGCTTCCTCTGGTTAATGGTTGTCGCGTCTAAAAACAGTTTTTTATCGTGTTTTGGGATAAAAGCAACACTTAGTCAAAGGTTTGTGTGGGTGGTGTTAAATTCAGGCGGCTGCAGATAACTTTAATCACAATATTTTTTATGTGACTTTCATACATCGGTCATGGGAATTGCTGCATCCACCTAAAACCACACAACCTTGAAAAAGGTTAAAGGTAAATTTAAGTTGACTCAGGTTGCCAGATATGCAGATGAGCCCAGCTGGGACCATAACAGCTGAATAGACAGGAGTGTTTTGTCAACAACAAATCTAATTGCCCTTTCAGAGACCTGGATCAACAAAGAGAAGGAGGTTGATTTGAAAATGAAAGGCTATGATTTATATTTCAACAGCAGAACAACTGCAATTGGAGGTGGAGTAGCTCTCTACATTGACAAAGATCTAAAATGTAAACCAGTGAAATGTATGACTCGTGTTGTTGATGACTTGTTGGAAAGTATTGCTGTAGAAATAGAACTAGAAAAAAGTCGAAACATTATTGTTGCATGTGTGTACAAGAAACCAGGATCCAAAATTGAAACTTTCAAGGACATTCTTGAAGACATGATAAGTAATTTAAACTGCAATAAAACTGTGGTAATATGTGGAGATTTTAATATTGATCTGTTAAGAAGTAACACAAATTCACAAACTTCAGATTTCCTAGACACATTATATGGTAAAGGACTTTATCCAATGATCACAAAGCCTAGTAGAATAACTTCAACTAGTGCAACCCTGATCGATAATATATTTACTAATTGTTTAGAAAACTACCCAAACTGTGGCTTAGTAATTAATGATATAAGCGACCATTTGCCTATTTTTGCAATATTTAACCATAGATTGCCAAACAAGTCAATTATATTTCAACAAGTGTATAAAAGAAAACAGAATGATGAGGTGGTAAATGCTTTCAGAAATGATCTATATGATCAAGACTGGAACAGCATTTATACAAATGCAGCCAGCGAAAGTTCAATTTGGTAGACGTTAACCAAATTTACCCCTCCAGGCCGGCTCTCATCCCCAGCCTATCACTCAGCAGACGCCCCCTTCCAATCATCTGTACCGACTCGCAGCCGCATAAAAACGGAGCAACGCCCACTACCGGCCTCCTGAAGCCTCGCAACCACCGCCTCCCCTCCTCCTCCTCTTCACCCTGCCTCCAATCTGCCTTCAATTTTCTTCCCGCTGCCAAATGCCGCCACCAGTGCCTAGGTCCCGGGGGATTGTGCGCGCTCATCGCAGGAGCCTTTACGATCCGAAGGCCGCACCGGGACCTAGGGCGCCAAACCTCCTTTCATAAAATACTCAACTTCCTGTTTCTCGTCTCTCCAAATTGAAATGATGTGAATACAGCATACGAGTCATTTTTAAAGTGTTTCTTACATCTCTACAATAAACATTGTCCAGAGGTTCCATGTAGAGTTAGACGTAATGATAACAAAAAACCTTGGATTACAAATGGTTTACATAATGCGTGCAAAAAGAAAAATAAACTGTACAAGATCTACATAAAAACCAGAACAGAAATGGCTGAAAAGCGCTACAAGGGCTACAAAAATAAGTTGACAACCATATTGAGGAATGCCAAAAAGGAATACTACTCTAGAATTCTTTATGAAAACAAACATAACATCAGGGAAACTTGGAACATTCTGAGCAAGGTAATAGGAAAAAGGAAGGAATCCACAGAAATCCCAAAATACTTTACAAAAGATAAAAAAGTCATTGAAAATCAGGAGGAAATTGTGAATGAACTTAACTCCTTTTTTGTAAATATAGGACCTAGTTTAGCTGATAAAATTATGTGTAACAAAACATTTAAAGGTGTCTGTAATGGAGGCAAAGATTATCTACAGTCAATGTATCTGTCTGATGTTACAGAAAACGAAATATTAACTGTTGTTTATAAACTTAAAAACAAGACATCAAAGGACAGCGATGGTATTGACATGAGACTGATAAAGATGACTGTAGATTGTATTCTCAAATCATTGCATTATATTTTTAATTTATCCTTTAAAATGGGAATATTTCCAGAGCAAATGAAACTGGCTAAAGTCATTCCTCTTTTTAAAGATGGAGATAGACATGACTTTAATAACTATAGGCCAGTGTCATTGCTTTCTCAATTTTCAAAATTATTAGAAAAAATATTTGTAAATAAACTGGACAGTTTTATAGAAACTAATAAATTACTTAATGAGAATCAGTATGGTTTTAGGTCCAATCGGTCAACAAATTTGGCTTTAACCAAAATTGTAGAAGAAATATCAACTGCAGTTGATAAAAAGAAATATACTATAGGAGTGTTTATTGATTTGAAAAAGGCATTTGACACTATAGATCATTCTATTCTAATATCTAAATTATATTCATATGGAATCAGAGGAATAGTCTTGAATTGGTTAACCAGCTATTTAGA